GAACCAAGGCACAGGCGGCTCCTCAGATGGGCGTATGGGATATGCGTGGAAAGCAGTTTTACTCGGGTATCGAGATCAAAGTTTGGGCTATCGCTTGTTTTGCACCTGTTCGCATCGTCCGTGATGAGGCACTTCGGTAAATTGATCTTATTATGTTTCCTCTTATCTTTCTCTTGGCTATTTTTAAATTAGTTGCCCATTTATTGTGCTTACTGTTTTTTGACGAATGGCTGCTTGAACTTTGAAACCCCAAACATTATCACTAAGATGTATCACCCCATTTTGTTTATGTTGTCAAGGTCTAGTAGTTGAATTATCTCATAATGCTATGAGTAGATCTTATGTTCCTATTTAATTTCATATAGCCTTGCCTCTTAAAAGATATCCTCATCCAATATGGACCTCAGTTTAAACATTGCCTAGGTCTAATCAGCACCCCCAGCTGGACCCGAACTCTGCCGGTTTATTTATGTATGGAAATGGCTAAGACCATATCCAAAGCTTAGACTCCTCTTATCAGCAGGCCAATAGGGTAGGTACAAAGTTGTTAGCAAAATCATAACATGCTTAATTAAGATCATCAAATTAGTTGTGATAAGTTAGTACGATTTCAACGTGTCACCTTTTCTGCTTCAGTGTTTGGATGCGCTTTGTGTAACTTTTGGTTTCTAATCATAATTATATCCGTAAAGAGGTGCTGTTTTTTGAGGAATTTTTTAGCAAATTCATTTTGTTGATCCTTTAGTTTGGAAAGACGAATAGAGTGTATTCGTAAAGTGGTTTTTTCCGAAATTGAAGGAAGATTGTCTTGGAGCTACGATCATAGATGTGTAAAAATATTCATCGACACACTATCTCATGTCCTGAATTACTCCTTTTCGTGCTTTTATGTGAAAGACGTTATAACTTATTATCTTAGTTCTTGGTTATCTTTCTTTAAGCATCGCTTATCGCTCTGACAATCTATCACTTGGAACCAAAGCTCAGCAGGGATTCATCAGAATCGTAGGAGGATGCAACTAAGATTTATTCGCACCCGTCCTCAGTTACAATTCCGAG